TATGTGGTTGCTGCTGATTCTTGTTCGCGCTACTCATTTCCATTAGTAGAGAATGTCCCTCACTGAAATCTTCATCTTGGTTGTTCTCACTACTCGTGTGCATCTGTGAAGAATGCCTCTGCCCATACTCTTCATCTTGCTTCCCTAACCGTCGATGAGTATCCTTTGGAGCAGACCCTTGACGAGAATGACTCATCTTTTCCGACTCCTGGAAGTGTTCTGTTTCTCTCTAACAATTGTTGGGTCGGATTAGTCTAGATAATTGGTGAATGTGAAGGTTTGACATCAGTGGTAGAGTATTTGCTTACCACAAACGCAAGTTTTACAAAAAAGCCAAATCTTTTAGTGTCATTGCGTCAAGGGAGAGAGCAAGAATAAACCTTCACTGTTTTTACATATAACAAATGACAGAAGGAATTTAAAACTAATAGCATGAGCAACAAGCTAAAAATTGGTCCTACACTTGCATTAACCTTTTGTCAGATAATAGCTGAGGGCATCCCCATAACCCAATATTCAGTCCCAAAATCGATGCTGAATGTGGATTCAAACATAAATTTAATCAGGTAATGGAACTGAAAAAGAAACGAATTTTTATGACAAGACAAAAGGAGTGAAGTTGAGGAAAGTAGAGATTCATTGTGTTTCTCCTTTGATTACTTCTGTTTTGGGTGTCTACTAATCATTTGCCCAATGAAAGCATTTTGTCAAGCAATAAATTCCTTTTAGGACTCTGACTGTGGAATGTAATAGTGGGAGAGAGGTTTCCAAGTTTACCGGATCCTTACAAGCTCACATCAAAAAAGGTCTTTGAAGTTTACAGACTCTTCTCTGTATTAGATCATACATTGCTTTGATATATTCCCAATTATGATTGTGTCCATGTCAATGATTTTTTTTTATTCATTAAAAATGAAATTTTGAATTTATTTTTTTAAATAAAAAGAAATCACATTTTCAAACAAAAAATATTTGTGAAGTGAAAAAAGATATTTATTCAAGATTCATTTTGTCTGTTATTGATATGGAATCTGTAACATTTTACTTCACTCAATTATGTAATAAAAAAAAATCTATCTTAGTCTAGATATCTTTGATAAGAGATCTCACTTGTAACAGACTCATATTTTCAATCCAAAAGACAGATCTATTGAGGTGGAAAATTTGATTTCATGACATACGTTATTGTAGAGTTAAGCAAATTTAGGATCAAAAGAAATTCTTGGCTATACTTATTGTACAATGACAAAGTTTAAATTAAATATAGAACTACAGATACATGACTGGAAACATGATTGATGATAGTCCAATAGAGATCAAATTGCAGTTTCATAAGATGCAGCAACAAGAACAACGTGAAGGTGGTGACGAGGTTGTGGTTCTCCTTATTGCGACATTTTTGGGCGACGTTTCAGTTGAATCAACAGTTGCAGGTGGAATTTCAGCTTTAGGTGTAGGGACATTTGGCGCCAATTTTTCAGCTTTTGTTACAGCGACATCTTCAGGCGGATTAACTGAAGGCGATTGTGCAATTATTGTGTTTGAATGTTCCGTCGTGGGAGTTGTTGGACAAGGGTTTGGGAGATATACTTGCATAGGAGGTTCCTCTATGAAACCATCTGAAGTCTGCCTTTGCTGGGGACGATGGAAACTCTGGTAACTCGTAGGATGAACATCTTTCGAAACAAGAAGTGGTTGCTGGTGCTGCTGATTCTTGTCGCTGCTGTAGTCTTCATCCTGGTTCCATTGATGAGCATCCTTCGAAGTTTCCCCTTGAGAAGAATGACTCATCTTTTACATTTCCTGGAACTCACCGGTTTCTATCTGCTCTTGTTGGGTTGGTTTGATCTAGTTTCTTTGATATTTATTGAACATGAAGGATTAGACATTTACCATTCAGTATTTGCCTCACAATTTTCCGATCACACAGACAGGAAATATTATAGTGCCATTGCTTCGAGTAAAGGATCAAGAATAGCGCAACCAGTACGCACAGAATGAAAGAATAAAATCTAGCAAATAGCTTAATCGAAAGGCTTATATTTGACATTTCCTCAAACAAATTAATATTCCATTCCCAGATTGATTGATTGATATTCAAAATGGATAATGTTATTTATACTCCAAGGTTCTAACATTCGATAATTTTAGGTAATATGTGATCATGGGTTGCAACTACACAATCAAATAATTTTATTGATTGATAATGCATCAAATTTCTGTGATTTTTTTTTTTTTGCATTTGTAAAATACCAAAATTTCCCCATAGATTTGTTCTGTCTCACCTCTAATCATTGGCAATGAAAATTTTCTTTTCTCAAGCGTTAATCATTAGGCTTTTGAAGTGGAAAGTAGCAGTGGGACACACACAGTGAAGAACATTTCAAATGGAAGAAAGACAACATTCATTAAAAGTAACTACAAGTCATCCATTCAAGGAAAGTAAAATGCTCACTCGCCTGGAGGGTTTCAAGTTTTCCCCAGATTCTCTTATGCCTCACATCAGAATTTCTTTCTATATTTAGCTGTCAGGAAGATTAAACATAATTAAATATGGAAATCCAATGCCACAAATATTTCATTCCTAATTTGAACACCATCCTTTTCATCTTTAATCAACGTGTATTTGCAAAAATTCATTGACAAAACTCCAAAACTTGATATTTTAACCATGAATTTAAGTATGTTTTGTTGTTTTTTTTTTCTTCTTTTAAGAGGAATAATTATTGCACACAGAATCAAGGTTGACTGCTATGCTGGAGCAAATCATACTTACATTAACAATAAAAAATGGATTGATTTAACCCCAAGAAACCCTTAAACATGGTCAAGAAAATTGGGATGCAGGACCTGTTAGGATCGAGCTTAAGGTTGAACATGAGACAAGCCAGAAGCCTCTGTTATGGAACCATAAAACAGAGCATGGAGAAAGGTGATGAGAACAAAGTTGCCAGATTGTAATCATACTTCATTAAGCCTAAACAGAAGCTTAAATACACATAATGCATGCATTACACTTGTAATGATATGTAAAACAAGTGTTAAACATAAAGTCTTGCAATTACATGCAAGCATACGTGTACAACCTAAAGAAAACAGCACGCTTAGTTATATAAAACCAGTACAACGAAGCAAAATATATTCTGATGCTTCCACGAGTTGGTCCAATGCAAAGGTCAACTCTCAACAGGACCAACTTGGCAGGTACTTACGCAATAATATTAATGGTTCCACCACGTGTTGTATCTGGCTAGATATGAATTTGTAGAACTTGAGAAGATAGAGAAGGTTATGGTCAATAAATACATATACATATGTGGAGAAACGCGAGAAGAAAGAAAGCATTCTTTACTAGTGGAGATTGGAGAGGTAAACCGCTAACCTACGGGAAAGATGGAAAATGAACTATTTCAATGTTGTGTAAAATTTCGTAATTTCTTGGTGCGGTTTTCATAAAATGCTACAACAGGAACAACGACCAGAAGGCTGATGTCTCCGAATGGGTTCTGGCGAAGGAGGTTGTGGTCGTGGATACAAAACCATCTTGGGTGCAGCTGCAACAGGTTCACCTGTTTCAGTTGGAGAAGCCAGAGCTGAACGCTGAGGCTGATTGTCATTGGGACGATGTAGCTCTCCAGAAACCAGCTCTGAAGAAGCTTGATCAGTTTGAGACTGCAATTGTTGGGGGGCCTGGTTTTGGTAACTGATCATCTCTTCGGAGCCTTCAACTGCGTTCCTGGAGGGTTGGTCAACACCCTCTGGTCTAGGCCCTTGAGAAGAACGACTCATCGTTTTCCCTTCCTGGAACTCTCCTATCTCTACTTGCCAATTCGATTGGTTCCTTAAATCATAATTTCTTGAAGGCAAGAAAATTAAGGAAGGTCTTGAAATTGTTTGATATTCGAAGGTCAGGTTGGAAAGTAAACTTCTGTGGCTTACCATAAACGCAGTTATTAAAAATATTCCAGTCCTGTATTGCAATCTCAGACTCAGCAAGCAGAATATAACATATTCGTACGTAGACCAAGAGGCTTGGAACTTTGTTTTCGAAACAATATTGGTGGGGGGGACGAATCAAAGATGGGGGAATCTATCTTAATTTGTACCCGAACCTGGCGTTTGATTTTGTTTGAGCTCTTACCAATTACTAGAAGCCTTTTGCCAAGCAAGAAATTTCTTGTCAACTACAAGTAGAGAAGCATATATCAAACTTGGGTTCTCTTTTTCTGATAAAAAAAGACATAAATTTACAGCAAATGCGGTGCTGATTTGGCTTGTGGTTGTGGGTTTTAACCTTCAAGATTCCCATTGTAAAGGAATTCTCGCAAGCTCACGCCAGTTATTTTGCATCAGCTTAAACAGTGGAAATTACATCACTAAATCAAGCACAGATTCTTCACTCAACTCTTATTGGGTCTTATTGATTAAGGTTCATGCCCAGAATTTTCAACATGGCTCTTGGGTGAAAGATGACAATCTCCACGTCTTTGCACTTATGTAGAAGGAACCCTTACCTGGATGTGGCAGTTGTTCGAGCTCGCAATCATGGCAGCTTAGGAAGAGGATTCCAACACAAGAATCAAACTTAAATCTCCTTTTCTGGACAAACAGCAGATAATATTAAATATATGATTAAGACTTAACAATTCAATGCTTAGCTTGTAGGCTTCAAATTTAGCAGATTGTCAGAACCTTATTCCAATCAACAGAATACGTTTTACATCAGCTTATCCGAAGCCAAATACCATTGGGATAAGACTGCAAATGCAGCAAGCATATCACACCCTCCAAAAACTTAATTAACCAAATCCAGACGTTTGTTCTATACAAATTTCAACTTCGAATTCGGATTTCATCATTGTTCAAGTTTTGTTAGAATTGTAAGTATACTATTTATAAAAAGGAAGAAAGATAATAATTACATTAAAGTTTTTGGTAATTTAAATTCAAGTAGTTAACAAAAGAAAATAAAAAGCAATAATATCGGAATCACTTAAGCACTAAACGTGTTGTAGATAGTTCCTTTATGTCATGGTCAGTGGGCACACATGACGCAACAAGTTAGTATGAAAACAAAAGTTAACACTTGACAAAACCTTTAAAATTGATAACTAAGTTTCAAACACAAAAACATACATACAAAATTTGAGAGAAAATATAATATTATTTAATAATTCAAAAAAAAAAGTTGTCTAAAAACTAAACCTATGATGCTATTTATAATAATCCAATTCTACTTAACTTAAACTTGAAGTGCAATGAAAATAAATTAAAATAAAAAAGTATACTAACCTAAACTTCTTTGAAGTACAAAAAAAATAAATTTGTAAACCTAGGCTTACTTGTCGTCCAAGTAAAATAAAATTAAAAAAATCTATTATATTTATAATTCTTATGTAAGATTCTTAATTAAACAAGAAAAACATTAAAATTATAAATATGCCCATTTATGATTTTTGGACTTTTGTCTTGATTTCTGATGCTCAAATTGCTCTAAGAAATTGTTTGCTAAACGTTCTACATCAACACAACATGCAGCAACTAAAAAAAATAAAAAGAAAATTAGTGGCGTTATGTGGAGATTTGTGCCTCCTTCTAGTCCCATGTTGTACAGCTTCATACCTCAATTTCAACAAGTCAGTGATTTCTATGTAATACAAACTAACTTCTAATAGAGTTTATGCAATTTAATTCATTAGAAAGAGAGATACAACATAGATGAGGACTTAGCCTTTTTTTTTTTTTTAATTTTCCTTTTGTTCGTAAATGTTGAAGCATGGCTAAATGTTAATATCAAACTTGTTGAGATATCAACTACAGGTTTCATAAGATGCTACAACTACTACAACAACCAGAAGACGGCTTTACTTTTGGTGAAGCTAGAGCTTGTGGATACCCTTCCGGAGGATTCGATGCAGATAAAGAAACAGGAGGATTCCCTGTTTTGGAGGAAACATTAGCTTCGACTTGGTGATAGCTCGGATCCGGATATGCCACCACAGGCTCAGCTACATTTGGAACATCAGCTCCACTTGGAATTGAGTACTCTTTTGTCGTCGGTGGATTATTTGGATTAACAGATAGAAGCACAGCTGGTGGTCTTCCTGAGTCTGGATAAGCATCCTTTGGAGGAGACGCTTGGGGAGAATGAACATTGGCTGGAGGTTTTCCTGACTCTGGGTAACCATCCTTTGGAGGAGACTCTTGGGGAGAATGAACCTCAGTTGGAGGTTTTCCTGACTCTGGGTAAGCATCCTTTGGGGGCGACTCTTGGGGAGAATGGCTCATCTTCCCTGGAAAGTCTCCTGTATCACTCTATACCTTGTTGTTTGGGCCTATCTTGGTTTCTTCGAATGTTTATACTCTAGGACAGAACCCAAGGTTTTAGGACTTCGAGAAAAGGTTATTCCAAACATACATTTCTTTATCATTAAATCAAGCATTAATTATTTTAAATCGTAATCGATTGTATATATAAAATCAATAAAATAAAACTACATACAGTTGTTGTAAACCCAATTTTTTAAAAGTCCCTTTGAGAAATACTTAATATAAAACTCACCGAAAGTTCTCTAAAATCTAAAATTCCCTCCAACTATTATATTTCCTGAAAGAATGCCATTGCTTCTGATCTCGATGTTGCAGCAATTAAACAAACCTCCAGGAAGGAGGGAATAATTAAATCACTTTATCAGCTAAATCCATCAATATTTGTCTATATATGAATGAGACTTTGTCAGATTATAACAATACCAGTTTCCCACCTTTTTTCATATCAAGATAACATTAAAATATTAGGATCAAAGCATCTTTAAATTAAAGTTCAATGCTAACTTTGCTTGTGGTTGCAGGATTCTTTAAGAGGGTCCTAAGGAGGGAGTTATTCTCATATATAAGTATCATTAATTAATTAATTATATGAAAGGTCGATAGGGTGTGAAGATTTCACAGCTATATAGTTACAGTTCTACCTCGTGTCTATATGCAATTGAATATTATGATAATAATTTATACCAAGATGTGGAAACTTTATTAGTACTTAATCTTTTATCCCAAACTTTTTATTTCACTGTCTGGTTATTGCATAAACTCTAATTCCTATCCTAAAGCACCATTGTCCATTTTCGGAACCCTAAAGAATCATGCTAAGGAGAGTCTAAGCTCTAAATTACTTAAAAATTCTTTTAGCATATGCTTAAAAAATTCTAAACTGTTCAGAAAAAATTTAAATGAGTTATTGTTTTTAAATTATATTTAATAAATTTTTATATTTTTATTTTAATTCAAATAAGTTCTTATAATTAACAATTGATCAATCCTTTTTAGTTAAAATATCATTTCTTATTTTATATCACATGACATGCCCATGTATAGCAATAAATAATAATGTGACATGATAATATGACTAAGTGATAATTTCATCTTTTATATCAACGTCATATGAAATAAAAAAATAAATGATATTTTGATTAATGGCAATCAATTAACTATTAGTCATAGGAGTCTATTGGATCTAAATTAACTTGATTGAACCCAATAAAAGAAAAAGATAATATTTGAATTTTCATGCATAATTTAGAGTGTTTTAAAATATTATGCCAATTTAAAAAAACATTATCCTATACACGATAGTAAAAAATTTTAAACTTTAGAATCGTGATAATTCAAAAAATAATTACGTATCCGTTAAATTAAAATTTATAAATTTAAAAATTAACATAATTATGAAATAAACACGTAACATCCAATATAAATAATTTATAAAATTTAAAATTTTCACATGTAAAAGAATAATAATCCATTAACACAAGCCTTACACATCAAGAAAAACAATAATCACACATCACAAATAATCCCCAAACATTCAAAATTAAATCCTCCATAGTTAAAATTCTGAATTGGCATGGGGAGATTGTGTATAGATATGATAGCCAAGCCACTTAGAATATTACTGTATTTACTCCATCAAAAGAGTGTTCAGCTTTTCAATGAAGAGATAGAATAGATAAAGTAGTTTAGTTTAAGTAACAGTTCTGATGAATCAACAAAGGTTTCATAGGATAATACAACAGCTACAAGAACGGGGAGGAGGAGAAGGTGGCAGAACGGTCCTTGGAAGAGTTGGGGGGTAAGCTTCATTCGATGGTGGAGATAAATCCTTTGCTGGAAGTGGTTGTTCTACCGGCGGAGAAGTAACCTTTGCTGGAGGAGGTGATACTTTTGGCCAGGTATTTGGAAATCCTGTCTTGGGATCTCTTGATGAAGAATTACATTCTTCTTGTTCCTCTTTCGTCCTAAATTCCTCATAACTAATATTCCCCGTGGCTGAATTTTGCTGTGGCTCTTGATAAGAACTTTGACTGCTTCGCCCAGGATGGTTATTCTTTGGAGGTAAAAGCAACTGTTTCTGGGGAGTGATGTAACAATCATCCTGTTTTGAAGAAACCCAATTAGCTGAAGGCTGTGAAGGAACCTTAACAGGAGTGTGTTCTTGGGCAGTCTTCTCAGAAAAGTGACTTGGATGATGTTGTTCAGGAAAATTCCCTGCTGAAAGTGGTGGCTGCTGCTGCTTTTGTTTCTGGTTATGAGCCTGGTAAGAATCTTCCTCTTTGTAGCCTTCAGCTGTGTTTCCTGACTGTAAAATAGAATTCGTCAAGGGAGACCGTTCAGTAGAATCATACATCTTTCCTGGAACTTCCCTGTTTTTCTCTCTGCTATTATTGGTTTGGTGATAATCTTAGTTTCTTCCAAGAAAAAGAAAAGAGGATATCTGGAATGGTCTCAGCTGGAGGGAAGATCAGTAAAGTAGATATAGGGAATAAAACCAACAATTCATTTTTTAATGTACTGCACAAACTAACCAAAAAAGTTGAACAAGTTCCCTACTAAACTATTGTACTACCTGGAGGAATGTATTTCTTTTCCTTTTTTGGGGGAAATTACCTTTAAGTAAAGAAGAAAGTACACTAGATGATATAAAACCCGTACTAAGTTCAGCTGATAATATAAATTGACAAGCTTGTACTGTCTATACTTGCATGAGACTTAAGTTCCTGATCCAAAACCAGTATTCTTTCCTGAAGCCAGTTGTACTATATTCTCTATTTTTGAGACTTCACTCTGTCAATCTCAAATTACAAATTACCAGAATTGGTATGTTGTTTTGTAACATATAACAGAGTTTGGGATAAGTACTATCAGAAATATGCAACCAAATGTGAAAATAAGTTACTACACTTTCTTCAAGGTGTTTTTTGCTTGAGTTATTATCATAAAGAATGTCCTTTTCAAGCAGAGTTTTCAGTGGAAAGCAGGAGTGGAGCAGTGAGGATGCCAACTAAAATATGTGCTTCTTTTTTAGTTAAATCTCTGCTTGGAAAAAGGCGTGATCTGTTTTTCTAGATAAAAAGAAAAAGATTAGTACTATTACATTATAAAATTTAAGGCATCTTTAACTTGGCTTGTAGTTTACAAGATTCCACCACTTCATTCATGCTTACATCATTTGGTTTTACATCAGCTAGCTTAGCGGCACCAGAATCCATCACCATAGCAGCTCCATTGTTAGACTCAAAATACCATGTACATTGCCGTTTTCCCCTCATTCATCAGCATCAAATCTGCTAAAATGGGATAAGGCTGCCAATGCAGAATCCCCCTCCGCAGACTCCAAAAGTTTATTCTTGAAAAGAGCATTTGGAAACTATATGCAAATCATTAAGCAAATTTAGAAACTACTTGAACCAATATTTGCAGGAAAATAAGGTACAATCTATTAACAACAAATTAGCTAAACTGTTTTTTTTTCCTATGAGGAAGAGCATTGGCCTTGGAAGTTGGAAGTGTTTATGTTTTCCTAGTTATTCTCGTTTTTTTTTTTTGGGGATTTTTGAAAAGGAAATAATTAACTAAAGTGATGAAACTCTTGGTTGTCACTTCATGAGTGCAAAGATGTGCTTCAATTTCCTTGGATGTATTAGGGAACATAGCAATAATTTGTGACACAGAGTTGAATGCTACTAATGACAAATGGGAAGCCAACTCTTTTCAACCTACTGCTGATTATATGTACAAAGCAAGCTTCATTTGTTGAGAGATGAACTACTGTTTTATAAGATGCTACAACAACAAGTACGTGGAGGAGGAGGAGGAGGAGCGGGAGGAACATTCAGCGGTAGCTGATTAAGGTAGCGTTCTGGTAAATAGCTCGGATCTGGAAAAGCTAACACGGGTGCATCGTTACCCAATACTTTGCCTTTAGCATCAATCCCTGCATAATTTTTGATGGGATATTCATCTTCTTGTGGTTGTAAAGGAGGATCTGCCTGAAATATAGGCGCCTGCTGCTTGGGAAGATTACCTTGTGCAGTACTTGGCACTTGTAAATTGGTTTTTGTAGGAGCCGGTAGAGCTGAAGGAAGGTCCTGCTGAGAATAGACGTTGGAACTTTTTTCATCGGTGGGAGGATGTTTGTCCTTTGAACGATGCTGCTCTTCTGAAAGAAACCCATTTGGAGGCTGCTTTTTCTGGGGCTGATTGCTCCGAAGATTATCTCTTGAAAGATAAATTCCCGAGGGAACCTCATTTGGAGGCTGTCTAGGCTGGTAACCGTGGGAAGTTTGATTGCTTGGTGGATGATGATCATTTTTTCCAGGATTTTGTTTTGAAGGGGGCTGGTTGGAACTTTGATCACTCAGAAGATGATGATTATCTTTTGTAGAATATCCTTGCGAAGGAATCCCATTTGAAGGCTCCACGAAGTGGTCCGATGTTTGAAAACTTGGTGGATGGTAATTGCCTTTTGGAGGATTTTCTGGCAAAGGAAGAACCCGAACTGAGGGCAGCTGTTGCTGGGGCTGGGGCGGGGGCTGCTGATTGGACCTTTGATGACCCGGAACCCCATTTAAAGGCTGCAGTTGCTTGGTTTTGTCAGAAGCAGGACTCCTTGATGGCTGATAATCAATTTTTGGAGTATCTTGCTGTGAAGGTAGAACCTGGACTGAAGGCTGGGACTGCTGAGAAGAGGAAGGATATCCCTGTGAAAACTGCTGCTTTTTCTGGGCAGGATAGGAATAACTCTGAGAACTTTCCCGAGGAAGATTGTCTCCTGGGGAACCATCCTTGGCTGTAGCCCCTTGAGGAGAACTGCTCATCTCCCTGGAAGCAGTAAGTTAATTTCCTGTTTCTCTCTGCACTTGTTTGATTTGGGTTGGGCTGGTTTCCTGGAGATATATATATATATATTGAAAATCGAACAAAAGACAGAAAGCAAAGTTTTGCTGGTAATGGTTTCACGTGTTGGGTAAGTGGGGGGATTAATGGGTTTAAATATATCTCCAGCTTGACATAAACGCAGTTTCAACTTTTGAAATGCTAGAATATGGAATATAGTCATTGCTTCAACGAAAGCAAGAACAAAAACCCTGGAGACTGTAAAATCAAAAGAATATTAAGCACATCTGATTATAGACAATGGCAAGCTTTAATTAATTATTAACATATAAATATTATATACAGTGGCATTTTCCTCTGGAGCGGCAATTTTTATTCAGTAGTGAAACAGTGAGCAAGTCAAGTCAAATATCAAAAGTCTAATCTCCTCTTCCCTGGGAAATTGAAAGGCAAAATTAAAATATATATGATGAAGAGCATCTTTTTACAGTAAAGGTATATGCCAACTTAGCTTATGGTTAATTAAGATTCCCTTTGCAAATTGTTCTTATAAAAGCTTTGCTTCAATGGACTCCAACACGAATACAACAGTGTAACTCCTATTTCAAACTCAATTTGCCCTCAAACCTTCCTGGAAAATGAATGTTAGTTTTCTTCCAAACTTTTATTAGTGAACATAGGATGTTTTCGAATATAAATGCATAGTTTCGTGTCTTTCATAATTGTAAAATTATTAAATTAATATGTGTATTTATTAATCAAATTTAAAAATAACAAAATATAACTTAACTCGGAATCTTGTTTTTAAAATGTTCGAATTCAAATCCGATCAAACCCAAATTGATCAAAGAATCAAATACTTGAATTTGAAATGACTTAAATTTGAATCTAAAATCTATCCAACCCAAAATTGTAATAACTCAATATTATTAATTCTATTTCTCCCAAACCACCCCATCTCACTAGCAAATAGTCTCAGCTGTTGTTTTAAGGTCCAGAATAAAGAGGTTAAGGCATAAAAGTGAAATGCGTTCAGCTGACAAATCATTGTCCTTGGAGAAACATGGTCACTTTCAAGGCTGTTATGCATAATAAGAAACTGTGTTGGAGAATCTCTCTTCTACCCAGTTTCTTTCCTCTTAAGCTACAATCCTTTCAACCAGAGCCAATGCTTCCACAGGATATTGCATAAATCCCAGAGATTTCCTTTGCATGTACACCATTGATGCAGAAGCCACAGATGGATCGAGCTTTAATTGTGCACTTTATATATATTCCTTTGTCATTGTCATTGTAAATATATTTGATTGAGACCATTTAATCATTTCATTCACCCAAGTATTTGACTCATTAATTCATGTATAATCCTGCTACTTAAAAAAACAAAATTCAAATCCCTGTTCCCTAATTAAAAAAAATTTATTTCATGACGCAGGCAGTAAAGGTTCATCTATCCTCAATTAAATTTGTGTACCAATGCTTGCAAAAAGGATGAAAAATACAAGAAAATTCTTTGAAAAAAAGTTAATTTCAGTTTTTATTCATTTTCTTCAGAACTGAACTAATTGCTGTAGTTTCGTTTCTAAGAGAACTAATAGCACATTGGAACTCAAACTTCTAAAGGATTCATATATCAAATATACTGACTAATTTTCCTTATTTTCTTCTTCCTGAAATACATCTATGTTAAGTCTTCACCAAGAAACAATGAATCGATGTTTCAAAAGAGAAACAAGAACAAAAACTACAATGCTAGCTCAAGTGCTGCCCTCTGCCATCTCCTAACAAGCATTTCCGAGAGAATTTGAATTCTTTTGAATTAGTATATCATGGTATACAAATGTGATCTACTCTCTCTTAAGGTTACAAGCAACACCCTCAGCCCTCAGGCTTAACTTCGTCAGACCTGCTAGCCATTCTTCAAAATATTCCCATTCTTTTCACTGTCATACATCAGACTGAGGATGGCAAAAATTTCCAATTAACTTTGCTTTCAAACACTATTAATTTCGACTACCTTGGCTATGACGATGTCCGCGTCAGAAAATCATTAACAGCTAGACTAGCGTCTCCATGGGCCACGGCATCTTCAGGTTCTGGCATGTAGAGACTTGAAGATGATGCCTGCATATTATGAACATTCCATTCAGTCAGTAAGTAAAGCCAAACCTTTCTTCTGTATCTTGAGAAGGAGATAGGGCACGGGGGGAACAATCAGAAAAGTAAGAAAAGGGTAGGGTTTGGGAAAGGCAAACTCCCAAAACGTTAAACAAATAGTATTTACTGATGGACCAAAAAGGGACAGAAGGATGAAATCCCAAAACGTTCAACTGAAGTTAAACATGGACAGCACACACGAACAAATCTGCTCATGGCATGATGGAAAAAAATTTACAGGGATATCGATCCATCAAATTTTCTTTAAAATTCTGCATCTCAGGGAGGATACGATAGTTGCGCCAAGATGGAACTTCGACAAGTTCACTTGGACTGCTCTCGTGAAGAAATATGCTCATGACATAAAGGGAAAAGGTTTTACAGAATTAACAACCTGAGGATCTAATGAGTGTACCAATTTGGAACACTGCTGATTATCCAACAATAATAAGATCAGATATGTTAATTATCAGGATGAGATTAAGAATACCTTAGCATCAAGCTGCATCTCTCCATTACTATCTGCAACAAGGCATGCACCATGTGCCTTCAACCAGTCAACACACTCCTCCAATCCATCTGAGTCTTTCTCATCACTTCCTTCATTTGTAGGCACACTGCTGCTGAAGCCCAGAACCTGAGCAATGTATGAAACAGGTACCTGAGGACGATAAGAACGAGACATACAGCCCACAGCCTTATATCGCATTTTCTCGACATAAAGATCTGCACAAAAGAACCAAAAAGACCAAAGAGCAAATGAAAGAAAAACCTTAGCACTCTTTAGATAAATGTAATTGGTAATAAGAATTGAGATCACCCTGTAGTACACACTTACCCATAAGGCAGGCGTTCAAGTTAGGTGCCATTTTGTATAATCTGAAGAACATAACATAATTTCCTGAAGTCACAGCTGCACGAACTGCAAGTGCATGTTGAACAGCTTTATCCTTCTTTGCTTCATCAGATAATCTTGAAACCAAACATGTGAGGGTATTTTTATGTCAATATTCATAGCATAATGTATAATTGACATAATTCAAGAAATCAAGGAAAAAAATCTAGCTTATAGATTGAAAATAGCAACACAACTAACCTTGACATTGACGATAATAGATCTCTGTTGTTATTCGAGTGCATGATAACACAAAGTAAATTGTAAGCAGAAAACTCCATATGGCACCCCTCAATTCCTTCAGCATAAAGGATTTTCAGCTGTGATTGGCACTGGACTCCGTAGGAGGAAAAAAAAAAGCGAACAAGATTAATAATGTAAAATAGTAAAACTTAATCTCTTAATCTATTCCACTTTGTGTCACAACATCTTTCGAGTGGTGAATTCTAAGCACCACTGGACATCACAGAATAGATCCAAAATAGACATCCAAAAAAGAGGGGGAAAAGAAAGAAAATATACAAATCCTTTTGACACCCACTTAGTTTACTACTTTCTGACAAAATAAACGTATGATGAACTTTTTACTCTGACCTTTGCAACAGAAACACAATTACAACGTTAAGCAAAATGTTCAAATGAAACCTACAACCACTGAGAGTTAATTACCAATTGTGCTTTGATTAACATTTGCAGATCTACAGCTGAGCATAAGTTCTTGAGAGAAATAAATTGTGCAAATACCAGTCTATCATACTCTGTCACTCAAAATGCAACAGTAGTTACAAAGCACTGAAATTCCATTAATGGTTTCTTTTTATACCCTTTTCCTATCTCTAGGGAGGGAATCCTTTATTTTGATGGTAGTCCAATATATTTCTCACCATATATAAATAACAGGCACCTTTACCCTTTTTTACTTTACTAGACATCTTCACAAATTTCCACAACTTTATCAAGCTAACAACTCCAGGACACTAAAAAATATGATCAACTATAGCAATTTTGGCTAGGATTAAACATTACTTAACTGAAAACTAACAATGTTGCCAAAAGAAATAGAACTGAAATAAAACTAGCAAGACATGCCAATGTTTAAGACAACAGTGATACACACTACTCAGCAGTGTCCATGAGTGTGTTTTATCTGCATTTTCTTAAAAGCACAATATGTCAATTTAGCTTCGCAAACAAGGCTAAGTGCCAGTTTGGTGGCAAACTATTTGGCCAGATCTAATACACGACCAGCTGAAAGAAAAAGATAGCCATCATATGGGGTTAACAGAATCTAGTCTCATTAAGAAACCATGCGTGATACTTTACACATTTTAATAAAAGCAGGTAAACAAGCTATTCCAAACAAGAATTCATAACAAGATGTTCTTAAATTACAAACCTGATTATACTCAGGCAGATCCCCAACTTCCAATGTCAATCGAGCATGAGTTTCATAAACCTGTTTACAAGTGAAATAAAGCTTGAAAATCAGCATATTGTCCAGGAATTATTTATTATAGAAAAGAAAATCCTCATCACTATAAACATATCTTTTTCCCAGGGAGGCAGGGATATGCATCAGATATACCTTAACTGTTAGATGGTTACGAATTCTTTGGACAGTTAAGTCCTGGCGAATAGACTTCAACTGATCACATTTATAAAGGTAGTTCTTTTGGGAATTTTGAACCATGAGCAGAGCTTTTTCCAGAACTTCTTCTGGTCTTACCTGTAAATCAAAGAAGACGGTCAATAATATGGGAGTGACATCATTTTTCCAAAAATTTCAAAAGGCAGAATGCACAGATTATGACAGTGAAATGAAATATGGATAATTACAGTGGAGGGATCTGGTGCAGAAGTAAGACGTAAATAGCGTTTCTCTATTTCCTGGCATGTTCCTTTCACAGTTAGTGCATCCCAGTCAATGTC